AGGGCCGCGAGTGCTCCCTCCGGTTTGGCCTGACCACCGACGACACGGGCACCGTCACCGTGCGTGTGCACCCTGGAAGGCCTTGCTTGCGTGCTCCTCTTCTGGGTTACAGCGGGGGCCAATGCCAAGAACCACCCTGCTTGCCTCCAGGGTGCCCTGCGTTTCTTGGGATTCGATGGTTCTGCTGTGGATAGCGTGACGCTCCCACACCAAGCATCGATGGGCGTCCTGGGGTCTCAGGGTTGGGTTCTTGTGGTCGGGCCCCTTCTGTAACTGCAGTGCCGTTTTTAATACATGCTCCCCGTGCGGATCATGTATCAAAGATGCAGGGATATAGTGTTGAAAACAACGATGAGTTCATGCATATTTATTCATAAATTAATCGTGTATTACCAATCCTATATGTTTTAAGATCCTATGTCTTAAAAGCTGACCTGTACGGTAGGCAGGTTCGTGTCGTGCCAACGCGGCGGCGACCTGGTGGCGGGCGTGCAAGGCTAAACAGTGCCAGTGCCCCGGAGTCGGCCAGCACGGAACGATCTGACGATCGGAAAGCAGCCAGCGGCGTCAGAAGTCCACGCCAGGGTCGTCACCACACGAGCCCACCATGTATCAGGAGGAAAAGAAACACACAGACACAATTGATCGTCCACACCCAGTAAAATATGAGAAAATACGGGAGGTGGGGGGGAAGACAGAAACCCAGAACATCTGGGACAATATGGGGAATCTTTTTATTTGTGTGTATTTATTTGCGTGTCCCAGGGCCCCTTCAATGTAGCACCCAAAAGAGTTTCCCACGCGTTACACCTATAAAAGTGCAATTGATGCGTCGGGAATTTCGGCGGCGAGCGAGGGGGGAAATGAGAAGGCGAAGGCCTTCTCAGAAGGTGGCGGGACTTCTCGGAATCTCTCGCGCCTTTGAGAAGGTGTTTCTATCTCCGGGGAAGTGTTGGAACACGTTCAGAAGGCTGGGGGACTTCCGAACCTGTGAGAAGGCCCTCTCTTTCTCACTTCCCCCCCTCGCTCGCCGCCGAAACTTGACTGCAAGCCTCGAAGTCATTGCCGATTCCAGTCAAGACGCTGAACTAGGGACCGCTTTGGGCTTAGGAGGGGCTCCAGTTTTCAAGCCGTCCCTTCGAGTTGGGTCGGGTAGCCTACTCGTGGCCGAGGCCAGCAGTATCCAGAAGAGCCCCGTCGTTCTTTACTCAGCGTTCCTTGCAGCAGCACGATGGCTGTGGCCCCGACGATGCTGGTGCCTCCCAGCTGCTGACGTCGGCCTCAGCAGAGCCAGCCCTCTCTGCCGCCAGCTCGCCCCTGCCTCCATTTCGAGATTCTGCTGCACGCGGGAGTATCACAGCGAATGGGACTGGGATGCAGTGGGGGCCCATGCCAAGGAAACACCCTGCTTGCCTCCAGGGTGCCCTGGGTGTCTTGGGTTTCGACAGTTTTGCTGTGGAAAGCTTGGCGCTCCCACACCAAAAATCGATGGGCGTCCTGGGGGTTGGGTTTCTTGTGGAAGCTTTCTTGTGTTCCGTCTCCTACTGTAGTGGTTGTCGTGCTCCATGATCGATGTTGGTAAGTCGATACCTCCGAACTGATAGCGGGTGTCGTCGACGTGGGACGGTGCAGTCGCAGCGGCCTTGGGCGCTCGACGGAGGACGGGGACGGCCACCTCCGTGCCTGCAGTCGGTGCTCTTCGGCCCAAGGGCATCGACAGTGAAAGCGGCATCCTGTCGGTGAAACTGCGGTACAGTGGAGGCCCATGCCAAGAAACCCTGCGCGCTTCCAGGGTGCCCTGGGTTTCTTCGTTTTCGATGGTTTTGCGATGGACAGCGTAACGCTCCCACACCAAAAGTCCATAGACTTCCTGGGGTCTCAGGGTCGGGTTTCTTGTGGTCGAGCTCCTACTGTAATCGGTGTTCTTCGGCCCAAGGGCATCGACAGCGAAAGCGGCATCCTGTCGGCGAAATTGCGGTAGGAGCTGGCTGAATGCGGAATCGTCAGAGGATTGCGAAGGCTTTATGATCGGTGCCGCCGCCCCCGGAGGCCTCGGCCCTCGACAGAAATGGGAGGGAGAGGACGGGCCGGGAGGGTGGTATTCTGATCAGGGACCACCCCCCCGGGACCCCGCCCCCCCGGGATCATTCCCCAGGAGGGAAGGGATCAAATCGACTGCGAAAGCGGCATCTTGTTGGCCAAACTGCGGTAGGAGCCAGCTGACTGCGGAATCGCCCGAGGATTTCTGATCGCAGGCCCCAGACACGTGGGGCACAGACAGTGGGGTCTTCCGATCCAGGGGGGGGGGGGGGCGTTCTGGAGTTTCTAGGCGGATCCAGCCGTGGCGACGAGGAGCCCAAACCCCGACTTCTTCACCACGTCGACCCCCAGTGTTCTGGACCCCTTCCCGGCACCAGTTTCTCATCCTGAGTCGTTTTTGACCGTCCTAGGGTGTAAGGGCCCCCAGAGGCCGAGCCGCGATTTTGTTCCCGACGCGAGG